GGTTCGGACTCGATGGCACCTGACAACAACAACTTTCATGAGCTCTGGTTATGGATCCAGGTAAAATTTAATTTTGACAACTTCAATCTTTTCTTTGCTTATTATGATGCTGTCTACTACTTCACATGTGAGCGTTATTGTTTCCTTTACAATGAGTTGTAATTCATACTGAAGGCTTTGATCTTTATAAGTAAGTGCTTCAAGTTTTCTTCACTTTCAGCAAACTAAGTTGTGTACTCTGCATGCCACAGGTTGTTAATGAGCCTTACTCCACTCTTCTTCATATAGTTCAGCTTCTCACATTATTTGCTAAATAAGTATGGTGAAAAGATACAACCCTAACACACACCTTTCCTGATTTCAAACCATACAGTATTATCTCTTTGTTCCCTTCGAACAACTGCCTCTTGTTCTATGTACAGGTCCCACCCACATGAGCACAATCAAGTGTTCCGGCACCCCCATTCTTCATAATGTTATCCATAAATTGTCATGATCCACACAGTCAAATGCCTTTACATAGTCAATAAAATACAAGTAATCTTTCTGGTATTCTCTGATGTCAACAATGATAGCCGTCATTCCACATCCTCTTCTGAATCTAATTTGAATTTCTGACAGTTCCTTGTCATTGTATTGTTATCACCATATTTAAATTATTCTGACCAAAATTGTACTTGTGTGTGACATTAATTATATTGTTCAATGATGTCCACATTCTGTTGGGTCTCTTCTCTTTGGAATGGGCACAAATATGGATCTTTTCCAGTCAGTTGGGCAGGTTTAAATGAGTGCTTCCAATGCTGTATCAGTTTGTTGAAAGATTTCAATTTATATTACATCAATTCCTGGAGCCTTGTTTTCTGCCAATGTTTTCAATGCAGCTTGGATCTCTCTCTTCATTCAGTACCATTGGTTCTTGATCATATGCGACCATTTGAAATGGTTGAATATCAATCATTTCTTTTTGATAAAGTGAATCTTGTGTGTATTCCTTCCATCTTATTTTGATTCAGTCTTTTTTTCTTTTTTGATTCCGTGTTCTTTTGATGCTTTCTGCATCATCCAATATCTTTCCCATAGAATGCTTCAATATTTCTAGTCAAGGCTTTTTGTCTTCAGTTCTTTCAGCTTGAGAAATACTGAATGTGTTCTTCCCTTTTGGTTTTCTAACTCCAGGTCTTGGCACATTTCATTATATTTACTTTGTCCTCTTTAGCTGCCCTTTAGAATTTTCTGTTCAACTCTTTTATTTCTTCATTTCTTCCATTTGCTTTAGCATCTTTACACTGGAGAGGAAATTTCAGAGTCTTTTCTGACATCCATTTTGGTCTTTTTTCTTGTTGCGTAGTGGTTATAAATCGGGCTGTGAGTTGCAAGGTCAGCAGTTCGAAACCACCAGCTGTTCAGTGGGAGAAAGATGAGGCTTTCGACACCCATAAAGATTTAAAGCCTCGGAAACCCTGTACAGGGTCACTATGAGTCGAACCAACTCCACGGCACATAACCACCATACTAACTTTTTAATGACCTTTTGCTTTCTTTCTGTATGATGTTCTTGTCTTTGGTCATTAGTGTCTAATGCATCAAAACTGTTCTTGATATGGTCTCTAAAATCAGATGGGATATACTCAAGGTTTATGTTTTGGCTCTTGTGGACTTGTTTTAATTTTCTTCAACTTCAACCTGAACTTGCATTTGAACAAATTGATAGTCTGCTCCATAGGTAGCTCCTAGCCTTGTTTTGGCTGATACTATTTAAAAAAATACAAATAACTTTATAAATAAAAAATAGTAATAACCTTTCATTTCATTCCCTTTAAGTAGCTGGATTCAGCAGTATAAAGAAAAAGATTATAAAGAGAAATCTACCAGGGCAGTGGCTGCTCTGGTTCATCAGCTTTCCTGTAGGAGCTGAGAACAATGCCCTTTAGAATGAGAAAATGTTCCCAGTGATGCCTAAGCAACATGTATGGCATTCCTCCATGACGACTCACTAACCTTTTTCTCTAAAACGACTGTACACCATACAGGCATATTTTCTCAAAAATAATTATTAGCTTGGTTGTTGTTAAGGGCCGTTGAGTTGATTCCAACCTATATAGGGTTTCTGAGGAGCTGCTTGTGGGTCTGAACTGCTGACCTTATAGTTCGCAGTCCAGTACTGATCCTACAGTGTCACACCAGGAGACCATTGTTGTTGTTGATTGCCATCGAGTCGGTTCTGACTGGTGAATTTGAACCACTGACACTGAGGTTCAAATTGACCTTACAGACTAGCGCATTATCCTGCAGCACCACACCAGGACTCCATTACTGACAAATAATTCACATTCCATAAAATTCACCCTTTTAAATTGGATAATTCAGTGTGTATTCACATCACCACTATCTAAGTCAGAATATTTTCATTAACCCAAAAAGAAACCCCAATGTCCCTTAGCTGTCACTCTCTATTCCCTTTTCTGTCTACAACCCTTGGCAACCAATTATCTACTTTGTTTCCATGGATTTGCTTATTATAGATAGGCCTTTCAAATCAATGGAATCACAAGACGCGTGACCTTTTATAACCAATTTCTTTGACCATATATGTTGTTGTTGTTAAGTGCTGTCGAGTCGGTTCCGACCCATAGTGATCCTGTACAGGGTTTTTGAGAAGCAGCTGAAACCACCGACCTTGTGCTTCAAACTAACTTTGCAGTCCAACACATTAACCCACAGCATCACACCAGTTTTTATCCCAAAATTATTACTCAGAAAAGAGGAGGATACTTTCCTACTGAAACCTTACAGAGGATCTCATGAAGGAACATTCAATTCCTTTATTTAAACAAGAGTTGGTATAATCCAATGCTTTAGAAACTCTGGCTAGAGGTTAATTAATTATAACATTAAATGGATATAAATGTCTATTACTTTTCCCATTATTCATTAAAGTTTGAATGAAATTATTCTATGAAATATGAATGGAAAATAAAATACAAATCTTAACATACCTTATATGAAGTCACTTAAAAAGATTAAAAAATTAAGCTAATAAATTAAATATTACATATGTATTACTATTTTACCAATACATGATTTATATTTCTTTATATTTTAAACTCTAAGTTCATAATTCAGAATTAGTGAAAACGTTTTTTTTTCTCCTTTCCATACTTCTAGAGTTTATTGTGAACATCTATTACCTATAACACTATTTTGATGGCTCTTTCCAAAGGAAATACAAGGGAGATTGATTTATATTCAGGATTGCCTTATGTTTGGAACTAAAAGATTCCGTATCATTAAAAGGCATGTTCAGATCTGACGATCTTCAGGTCTAAAATAATTGTGGATATCTCCCTAGTATTGTAAAAGTAGTTGAAAGTCCAATTCTTGGCACAAACTTTGTAAAAGCATATTATACCAAAAACTGCATGAAGTGATTTTATTTATTTAAAGGGAAAAAAACCAAAGACCCCTCTGCCTTTAAGTCATTGCTAACTCATAGCAACGTTGTAGGACAAAGCAGAACTGCTCCACAGGGTTTTCAAGGCTGTAACCTTTACAGAAGCACACAGCCACATCTTCCTTCTGCAGACTTGCCAATGGATTTGAATCACTGACCTTTCAGTTAGCAGCTGAGCACTTTAACCACTGTGCCACCAGGTGCCCTTATTTGAGAAAAAGCCAACAAATTTAGAATCTTTGATTGTAAAGGAATGAAGGGATCTTCAAGGCTGCTGTTAACTATCTCATTTTACCAGCAAAATAAAGAAAATAAGGGTGGTAAACGGCTTATCCAAGATCATATAATATGAAGGCCCACCAGGAAAAGAGGCTTTCACAACTTAGGTAGACCTGTCAACAACTCCATTTATATTCCCACTGTATAACTAAAGTGTAGAGAAGTTTAAAACTTGCTCTAAGTCACACAGCTAATAGGAACAGAGCTGGAATTGCATCTCAGGTCTCTATGACTTCAGAGCCATGAGCTCTTAACCATTTTGCTAGATAAATAAGCCTTCAGCTCATCAATGCCTTTTGCTGGGAATCACCTGGCTGAAAAATGCATACTGCTAGTTTAAAATTTCCAAATTAACTTAATGAAAACACATCAGAAATTAACAAAAGCACTGATAAAGTAGCAGAAAAAGTGGGGAGGCAGCAAGTTTGAAATTATTTTTAAGTTTATAAGTACATCTGAAAAAGAATCCACTGTTGTCAAGTCAATTCCAACTCCTGGCCATTATAGAGGATAGAGAAGAATTGCCCCATGAAGTTTCCAAGGCTATAAATCTTGATTGAAGTAGACTACTGTATCTTCCTTCCATGGAATGGCTGGTAGGTTTGAACCACTGACCTTCTGGTTAGCAGCTGATTGCTTTAACTACTGCACCACAAGGGCTCCTACAGCTAATAAAAGGCATGGGTTATTTCAAAAAGAATACCTGGTTAATTCTCTCAGTCGAGACACCTCAGCATCACGCTGACGTAAGGTTATTCCCAAGATCTTATTTTCCTTTTCAGCAGCTTCTAATTTAAACTGGGAGCTTTTCACATTGACTAAAGCGTCCTCCAGTTCTAAAACATAGGGGGAAAAAAAAGTCAGTTTCTTTATTATTTTTTTAAAATGTGACCAAAACTACAGTCCAAATAAATACCAATTTTCATCCTTGTTGTCTCAATGTCAAATTGCTGTTTGTGTTCAAGTATAGTTTGATCTTTCTCTTTGAATATACCAGCAAATTTTTTGTTTTCGTCTTTCTGATTTTCAATCACTTTTAACAGCTCTTCATTTTTACTCTGTAATAACTCCTGACTCTTCAGTGACTCCTGCAATTGATTTTGCAGTGATGTGTTCAATGACTGAAGAGAAAACACTGTAAGACAAAACAGATGAAATCAATATTACCTGAATTTTAAAAGTACAAACCTGTAATGATCTGGGGTTTCTTGGGTTTTTTTTTTAAGTTTTTATTGTCAATTGAGCGACAGTTTGAATGGGAGAAAATTGGTTTTGCACTCATCCTATCGTATTCCATTTCATTGCAATGATTACAATCCCATCCATGCATCATTAAACAGTATTTGCTTATATTCTCTGGTTTGTTTGTTTTTTTGAAGTACACAAGAACACTCAGGAATATAGAACCATTTAAACAACCCACGAGCACATTCTGCAAGCCTGCCCCCTGGATGCCAGCACACAGCCTTTCTCTTTCCATGAGTCTAGACTCCTCAGCTACTCTATCTCTCCTCTGTTCCTAGAATGTTACATTTATTGCTCCCCTCTTCATGTCACAAAACTACTTTTACAGTTGCCGTAATCAAAATTAGCCTTGATAACAATCATTCACTATTCAATCATAAGAATCTTATCCCCATTTCCTTTCACTACACCTGTCTAGACAAGATGAAAACTATTCAGTGGGGATTCTACCTTCCCTGACACACTCTGAAACTAAACTCCCCCTTGAAACTTTGTAAGTCACTTCAAGCCTTTATGGTGGTGGTAATGTGCGGTGGAGTCAACTTCGACTCATAGAGACCCTGTACAGGGTTTCTGAGGCTGTAAATCTTTATGGGAGCAGAAAGCCTCATCTTTCTCCCATAGAACAGCTGGTAGTTTCGAACTGCTGACCCTGAGGTTAGCAGCCCAATTTGTAATCACTAAGGAGCTCTGGTAGCGTAGTGGTTACGAATCGGGCTCCGAACCTTAAGGTCAGCGGTTCGAAACTACCAGCCGCTCCGCGGGAGAAAGATGAGGCTTTCTACTCCTGTAAGGATTTACACCCTCGGAAACCCTGTACAGAGTCGCTATGGGTCGGAACCGACTCGACGGCACTTAACAACAACAACAACAACACTACCAGAGCATGCCTTTATACCCACCTCATATTTGGTAACCAATATCTAAGTTGCCTGTTCCTATCAACCCTGTGTACAGAGGGGATAGGTTTGATCCTTGATATGAAGACTCCTTCCCTCTCAGTTGGTATTTTGAGCTACTATGTGCATAAGTCAAGTTAATCAAATTTTAGCAATTTACACTTGCTTCCTCTATCAGATTTCTTTATCTTACTCTATTTGAGCTATGATTATCAAGCCATCAAGGCTAAGTCAAATGGGTACTATCTGCAAGCTTGGGCATTCTTTATCTTACTCTATTTGAGCTATGATTATCAAGCCATCAAGGCTAAGTCAAATGGGTACTATCTGCAAGCTTGGGCATTCTTGTGCATCTTGTGGGGGAGACATCTGGAAAAACTGCAGATCAGGCAGAAAGCCTATACAGACCCTCTATAACAAATGAAACAACACAGAAAACAATTCTGGAAGCCTGAGCTTTGGAGAAAGGTTTGAGAAATGGATTGAAAACCTATTTGAGCAGGGGCAGTGAAATGAGAATAGTGGACGGACTGTCGGCCAGACACAGTGCTGCCATCTTGAACTTTTCTGAGCAGCTTTGGAGAGACAGACAGTGGGGTTGATGACATAGATATACAATGGGTGACATAAAAGATGTGATTCCTTCTTGTCCCCCATACTTCCCTGGATAACAGAGGTTAGGCCGGTCCCCACTCTCATCTAACCTGCTCTCTAGGAGTTTGGAGCCTTGCAGATTAAGCCAGTGTGAGACAGGTTCCACCTGCACCACCTTGGCACCTGGATTTAGACGAGCATTAGACTTGCAAGAAACTTAATAATCAGTCACCCTGTCCCCCGCTACCCTCTGGTTCTTACAGACAGTGAAACTACCAACCTGAATGGCTTTCACAAACTACATCCAGATTGAGTGTCCTGAACATGGACAATACCTAGGTCTATAAGAACTCCATCTAGGGCTAGGCACTCAGATGCCACATCCGTCTTCCATCCACCTTGTGAGTTTCTTGGCTAACAGGAGCCCCTGGAATTTCCTCCTCGCTGGGTCCAACAACTGTGCTGATTTTTCACTTATTTTTCCTTTTATTGTTTTGATGTCTTTGTTTTTTCTTTTTTCTTTGTTTTTACTCTTTCCCTTCCCTTAATTTTTATCCTTTCTATCTCCACTTTACTTTTTTTCTTGTTTCTCATTTCCATCCTCTTCTCCTTTTTACCTCTTGATTTTTCTTTACTATTCTAGTTTTGTCCCCTTTTCATCTTTTCTATTTTAGTATGTTTTTCTCTTATTTTTCTCTTGTACAGCTCTATTTTCTTGCCCTTCTTTTCTCTTTTTAGTTAATATACTCTTTTTTTCTTGTTGCTGCCTGTTTTTATTTCTTTTTTTCTCCTTATTAGATTGTTTTTGCTTTTGCTTGTTTACTCTGTTTTGATTTTCTGTATGTATTTTCTCTTTTTGACCCACTCAGTGGCAGACAGAAACCATGCCCATATATAACTCAGCCACAACCATACTCTCTGCAGTTCCACCCATGGGACATGAGTCAGTATCAACTCCTATACCACCTGATCAATGACAGACATCAGCCAACACCAGCCAAACCCACCCTAAACTGAGGTGCATGAACAGAGAATGGAAAATGGTACCTGTTTCCATTCTCTCATCACACCCACCAGCAAACAGATGGTGAGAGCCTATGAACAAACAACCATACAATCGTCAATTACATGCAGTTCAACAATATCACAATGTCTCAGAGACAACAAAAGATTTTAGCTCACACAAAGAACAAGAGAGACTAGCTCCAATAACTAAGATGTAGCCAGGAAACATTTCTGAGGAAGAAAAGGAAAGAGAAAAGGAAGTAGAACACATAGAAACTTGAGGAAAATATTACAAGGGCAAATAGATGAAATAAATGCAAGTTTGGAAACAATATAAAACCTGCAAACAGAAATCCAGAAGATTAATACTGAGAGCTCAGAACTGGATGGAGTACATTTGAAGAAATGGAAGCCGAATACTAGTAACCTTGATGATACATCTCTCAGTACTAGTAAGCTAGAAGAATGTTGTTGTTGTTAAGTGCTGTCGAGTCGGTTCCGACCCATAGCGACCCTGTACAGGGTTTCTGAGGGTGTAAATCTTTACGGGAGTAGAAAGCCTCATCTTTCTCCCGCGGAGCGGCTGGTAGTTTCAAACCGCTGACCTTAAGGTTCGCAGCCCGATTCGTAACCACTACGCTACCAGAGCTCCTTAAGCTAGAAGAATAATCTGAAAAAAATAATGAAAAAACTTGGAATGGCAGAGATTTATGTGGGGCACCATAAAGAGGAATACTTACTGGTGACTGGAATTCCAGAACAGGAAGAGGCAATAAAAAGCATGGAGAAAAGTGTCCGAGATGCTGAAAGAAAACTTCCCTAACATCATGAAAGATGAGAAGAAAACTATTCAAAAAGCTGAACAAACCCCAAACAGAATAGAACCCAAAAGAAAATCAACAAGACATAACATAATCTAACTTTCCAAAATGAAAGACAAGGAGAAAGTCCTGAGAACAGCTCAGGAAAAATGAAGTTACCTACAAAGAAGAGCCTGTAAGATTCAGTTCTGATTTCTCAGCAGAAACCATGCGAAGGATGATACATACAAAACTGAGAGAAAAAAAACTGTCAACAAGAATCCTAGACTCAGCAAAGTCATCCCTCAAATAAAATGGTGAAATCTGGACATTTTCAGATGTCCAATATATTATAAAGGAATTTGTAATAACCACACCAATTTTGCAAAAAAATACTAAAGGGTGTTCTTCGGACTGAGAATCAACAAAAGTACACAACCTGAGATTAACATACAAGACAACAACACCTGTAACTCAATCTAGATACAGAAACACAAACCTATATAAAGTTACACAAACCTACATGACTGAAAATAGGGGAGCAGAGATATCAAATTATAATGAAGCCAACTACAAAGCAAAAAGAGGAAATTGTGAACATACAGAACCTCCACATAGCAAGGAAGTCAAGTAGATTTTGTGATAAAACTGTTTAAAATGGGGAAAAAAGAAACTACAGGATAACCTCAAAGAAAATACACCTTCACACCAAAATTAAAAAGTGGAAAATCAGAAAACACTCAGTAAACATTAACACAACAGATATGAAAATGAAAAGAAAACCCACAAAAAAAATGAACTCAGCACAGAAAATTACGTGGAACAAAGAAACCAGCAGCACCACAATAAAACACACAACAAAATGACAACAATCAATTCACATCTATTGATAATTACACTGAATGAAAATGGATTAAATGCACTGGTCAAGAGACAGAGAGTAGCAGAAGGGATACAAGCTTTGGTACACATACACAACAGAATACTATGCAACACCGAAGAATACAATGAATCTGCAAAACACCTCATAACACAGATGAACCTGGAGGACATTATGCTGAGTGTAATTAGTCAATCACAAAAGGACAAATACTGTATGAGATCACTGTCGTAAGAAAAGGTTTTCTTGCTAAAAGAAACATCCTGTTCATGGGGTGGCAGGGAGAGGGAAAATTATTCACGGTGTAGAAGGCAGACTCATGTTAACTTGGGTGATGGGGAAGGCTATATATATAACAAGAGGGAGGCTGGCACAGGAAAAGATAAAGGTATTGGAAAACACAGGGAGGAGTGCAAGAGTTAAAGTGAATAGAGGTAAATACTATTAACATGGATGGGGTTGCAATCATTGTAATGATACAAAGCATATGATTTGTTGAATGTAAAACTGATGACCTGCTCAGTTAACCTTCACTCAATTCACAAAGTTACAAAAAATGATATGGGTGAGGGTTAGGGAAGGGAAGGACAAAGGAGAGTTGAGACAGGAAGTAGGGAGATCAGTGGTTTAATTAACAGATGACACTGGCTTATCTATGCTGCAGGTGAATCTGGCAATTCAGTGAAGTGCTTTGATGGGTGGTCATATTTCTATTATTGCTTTGCAACAGATTTTTATATATTTAGATAATCTTCTGTTCTGTATCAGAACAATTTCTCCATGTTGATGGTTTTGAATATCCTTGTAATTTTGCTATATAGAAATTTTTATTAAATTCCGGAAGCTCACTTTATCAGCCTTTTCCTTTGTGGTTGGTAGCTTAGGAAAGCCTAAGTGTTAAAAAGCAAAGATGTCACTTTGAGGCTAAGGTGTGACTGATCCAAACCATGGTATTTTAATTACTTCATATGCATGTAACAGCTGGGCAAAGAATAAAGAAGACCAAAAAACTGATGCCTTTGAATTACGGTACAGGTGAAGAATATGGACTGCCAGAAGAACAATAAAAACAAGGAGGATTTTCAAAGAAGTACATCCAGAATGCTCCTTAAAGGTGAGGATGGCAAGACTTCCACCTCTTATATTTTGAACATGTTATCAGGAGGGGCCAGTCCCTGGAAAAGGACGCCATACTTGGTAAAGCAGACAGTGAGCAAAAAAGAAGGAATATTCAACAAGACGGATTGACAGAGTGGCTTCAACAACACAGCAACAATTGTGAGAATGGCACAGGACTGGGCAGTGTTTCATTCTGTTAGATACAGGTCACTGCTGTGCATGTTGTACAAGGGGAAATGACTTAATGGCAATTAACAACAACAGCAATGACAGGAAAGACCTCAAAGAATATACACAAAAACAAAACCTCAACTATTAGAACTATTCATTTTTTGCTTTTCTTTTTGCTTTAAGCTCTGTAATCCCTAATGACAATTTGGCACTATCTGTCAAAATTGCAGTTATATATAGCCATTGACATAGCAGTTCTACAGCTATAAATCTATCCTACAAAAATACTCACACGTGCACAAAAACACATGTACATAGGTTTTTATTGTAAGCATTCTGTATTTGGAAAAAAGGGTAAATGCATACAGATCTACCATCATGTCTTTTAATAAATTATGATAGAGCAGCACAAGAAAATAGCCAACCAATTCTAAAGAATCATATTTATGTATTTGATATAAAAAAACATCTACTCTTTGTTAAGAGAATAAACGAAAGCTGCAGAGAAATAGATACAGTATAATCTCATTTTTAAAAAGGAAAAACTACATATGTAGTCTGTCAGTGCCTGGAGCAGAGTATTTGTGAAATATATGAGCAAAAGATCTCTGAAAGGAAACACTGTTTATTTGTTATTTCTAAAACCAGGCTATTACTGGGGAGTTTGGTAGCATGGGTCTTTCATTTTTGTGTTTCTGCATATTTTAAATTTTAATGGAAGGATCCACATTTTTTTCCATATTCAAACAAGAGGATCAAATACTTATTTGTAAGACCTAAAATGATAAGGATCATCAAAGAAAAAATTAAGAAAATAACTCAAAACCCAAGCTCATAGGAACAGAGTAATTTCTGACTCAGAGACCCAAATACATGGTATAAACATACTATTAAACATAAAATTGTACTAACAGCAGACAACAAGCTAGACAATTGGGACCTTCTAAAAATTAAACATTTATGAGCATCAAAAGACTTCATCAATAATATCGCTCAGGCATTAGTGAGCTGAAATAGACAGGTATTGACTTTTTTGAATTGGACAATCATGGTCTATTCTGCCAGCAATGACAAACTGAAGAAGAATGGTATTGCATTCATCATCAAAAACAGCATTTCAAGCTCTATCCTTGTCAAGGATATATTGTATCCTTATGATACAATAATATCCATATACCCACGTTACACTGTTGGGATTGCACTCAATGTCAAAAAAAACAAAATGTGTGAGTTGCTGAATGGAAAACTGATTTTCTCTGCAAATTTACATCCAAATCAGAATGAAATTAAAAAAAAAAAAAAAAAAGAGAGAGAGAAGAAGAAGAAAATTCACCACGTCACCCAAAGAAAGTAAGCCCATTTTTGCATTAACATTTCCAGAGCCACAAAGATTTTAATGTTAATCCTTAAAAGTTCTTCTTTTACCTACGTTTAAGGAGGTTGCATTCCGGAGAACCAGACATCTTTTGGGTTTTTTCTCGTTCTCTAACTTGCTGGTTCAAAATTCTTACTTGCCTAAAGGAAATTATGAAGAAACATGAATGCCACAATCCTGGGCTCATTTAACAGGGTACATTTGACAACATAGAAAACAAATATTAGCAACTAGTAGGGTAGCAGAAATTTACTCCTAAAGCAAGAAAACCAAATGAACAAAACAATACTATTGTTATGGGGCATAATGCAATTGGTATCGAGTTTTAATGGTAGAAGTAAGTTTCAAGAGGCAATGTACTACTCAGGTGCCCTCGGAGGTTGTAGTAGCTGAGGCTGAAAGAGGGAAAGGGAAAGCCAGGTTAGCCCAGGAAGATAGATGATGGGACAGCATAAAACCTCTCCTCATCAGAAAGAGGTGACTTTCCCCAACCTCTTTTCTTTTTTGTTGCTTTAAATCTTTTAATATTTCTTTTCCTTCTATTTCTACCATTTCCTTTCACATCTCGCCATTTTCTTCTCCTTTCTGTCTCCCTATCCTGTATCTTTGTTATTGTAGTTAATTAATCATTTACTTTCCTAATGATCTGTCATTACTATGAACTGGAACACCAACAGGGACTAACATTTGCTTGATAGTCTGTCAAACAATAGAAAATTTAACAAACACAAACCCATGCTGCTAGTAAGTTATTACTATATGGAAAAGTTAATGAATTTATTTTAGTAATGAGCATGTTTTTAAGCAGCAACTTCAAAGCACGTAAGGAGTCCTGGTGGTACAGTAGGTTAAGTGTTGGGCTGCTAACCAAAAGGTCAGCAGTTCAAACCTGCCAGCCAATTCACAGAAAAAATAAGAAGCTGTCTGCTACTGTCAAGATTTTCAGTCCCAGAAATCCTAAGGAGTAATTCTACTCTGTCCTGTACGGTCACCGTAAATTGGAATTGACTCGATGGCAGTGAGTTTGCTTCTCCCCAACCCCCTGCAACAGGTAGTTGCTTCACAAACAGGAATAAACAATAGGAAAATAAATCTTTACTTTTAAGAAGGTAATAGTTCATTTTTAAAAAGTTATCTCTAGTAACTCTTCAGAATTTCTTTTTCCAATTGCTGAGGCAATTCAGATCCCATATGTGACCCCATATGTTTCAGAGTAGAACTGTGCTTCACAGGGTTTCCAATGGCTGATTTTTCAGAAGTGGACTGCCAGGCCTTTCTTCTGAGGCACCTCTAGGTAAACTCAAACCTCTAAACTTTCAGTTAGTAGCCAAGAGTATTAACCATTTTCACCATCAAAGGATTCTTCCAGAATTATTTACTTGAGAACAATATATATCAGAATATTTACTTTTGTTATTGAATCTAAAAGGATAATACCCTACCTCACACCAATCGAAAGTATTCATTCTAGATGGATCTAGAGCTAAACAAAAGAAATAAACCCACCCTAAGAAGTACAGGTATACATTGTTTAACATCCACAATATATTCTGTGATTTGGACACTGTGTGAGTATTGCATTAAAACCTCTTGGGCGCCTGCTTCCGGCTGTCCTCACTGCCGTTGCTGCCACTGCTGCTGTCGCTGGAACCGCTGGTGGAGGCTGAAGAACCGGACAGCAGCCGCAGCTGAGAGGTTGGCTACAGGAGCAGAGTGAGAGGAAGCAAGTGGGGAAGGAGCAGAGCGCCCACCGCACCCACTTCTGCCCGCTGTTCTGCCTACCTGCCTACTGGACAACGTTGGTGCCCAGAGTCATGTCCTCTACTTTACCACCTGTGATCCAGGGCTTTAAAACCAGTAAGGGGAAACAAGGAGTCCTGGTGTGGTGCTGTGGGTTAATGCGCTGGACTGCAAGGTTGGCGGTTCAAACTCACCAGCTGCTTCTTGGAAATCCTATACAGGGTTGCTATGGGGCAGAAATGACTCTCCGACAGCACTTAACAACAAGGAAAAATAATAAACAAAACGAGAGCTGCTTTCCCTGTTTTAAAAAAAAACGTTATGGGGTCACAGACGTTCGCAGTCTGACATTGTCCCAAAGGGACGTTAAGCAATGGATACCTATATTAGGGGAAAATCTACCTAACCTTGAATGAGGAAGGCATTCCTAAGCAAGACTCAAAATCCAGCAATCTTCAAAGAAAAGAATAAAGAATTTAATTACGTTAACATTTGTTCTAAGCTTAGAAGCCTGGGAGAAAATGTCTCCTACCTACATAACAGACAGAGTCCGTAACGTTTGATGAGCTCTTATAAATCAGTAAGAAAGACAATCCTATCAAAAGTGAAAAAGGATAAGAATGGGTAATTCACATAAGAAACAGAAATAAAAATTATATAATATGAAAAACAGCCTATTTAATACTAGTATCTTTTGGCCATGTCTAGTGTCAAAATTTTTTGATATATCTAATGTCAAAAACAGAAGGAGCTAACACTCAGTGTTGTAAGGGAACAGGGAAGGGAATTCTCTCATGTGGCAGGAGTCTATAGGCATCACCATTTCGAATGGCAATTTGGTAGTATAAACCCAAATGTAAAATGCTCATGATCTTTGACAAAATAAGTCTACCTCTATGTTTTCTAGCCTCAGAAATAGTCATGCACGTGCAAAAGTATCTACAACCCTGCAAATGGGTACAAGGATGTTCACAACAATATACTGAATATTGAAATGTTCAAAACAATGTAAAACACTACACGAGTTATGGAACATCCATACCATGAAATACTAATACAACACATGCATTAGAAAGAACGACACTTCTACATGAAAAATTTTCAAGACGCTTTAGGAAATGAAAAAAAGGGGGCTGAAGAACAGTATGATAATACAAAACCCACTTACATGTCTTAAAAAGCTCTATTATATGTATGGAGTCTTGGTGCGACTCTGTAGGATAACTCCTCAGAAACCCTACTCAGGGTTACTATGAGTCAGAACCAACTCAACAACACTTAACAACAACATTATATATACATGTGTATGTAGAGTGTGTGCACAGATTCATATAGTTTCTGGAATGAAAAAAAAATTTGTTAGCAGTGGGGAGACAAAGAGATTGTATGTGTAAACGGAAACTTGCATATCTTATGCTATATCTTCTGTATTGTTATCTTGCACAAGACTATATTATTGTGCACTTAAAACTTAAAGAAGGCAATCTACATGAAATGGACAAATTCTTAGAAGCAAAAGTTACCCAAACTGACTCAAGAGTAAAGTCTCAACAGACCCTTAACAAATGAAGAGATTAACGCAGTGATAAAAACACTCCCAACCTAAATAAATGCGTTCACTAAGGAATTCCACCAAAATTTAAGGAAGGAAAAGAAAGGTTTCAAACACTTCCAAAATGGTAACGCTAATAAAATTCTGATTTTCTAAAAAGGTCTCCCCTTTACAACAGAGTGCACATCTAGAAAAGGTAGCACAGACTGGTGATACAGAACTCCAGCCACAATGCTTCTTTTGGTGTTATGTAAAAAAGTCTAACACATGAGGTTCTCTTACATATCAAGTATGTGACAGTAGCTTTGCTTGACATCTTCTTGTGTGTTCCTGGTCAGATTTCTCTCTCTTTCCCTTTACTCAATAGAAGTCTCTCATCCTCCTTATCCTCTCCTCTAGTAGAATATTTTTTCTTACTTTCACTAAAATAGATTTGGGATAAACTGTTATCCTTCTGTCAAAAGATCTACCAATTCATGTATGCGTATACCAATTTTTACTTCTAGTCTCAAAGAATGAGGTCTCATCTGCTCCCACCTTCGCCTATGCCATCAAAAACTCTTACTTCCTTCATCTTTTCATTGGAAGCTTCTCCCTCTTTGTCAGCTCATGTGCCTAACCTGAGAAGCATACTAAAATTGCTACCTTAAGAAAACACTTCCTCCAATCTAACTGCAACACTAGCTATTCTCTTGCCTCTCATTCCCTGCTTTAAGAGCCAAATTGTTTTTTTTTTAATTGAATGTTCTATAAAAATGACTCATAATGAATTATGTGTACATAAAAATAAATACCAAAAGATAATCTTTTAAAAATGGATGTTACATACACTATTTAAAAATAGTATGCATTATATTTAGCCATACTTGAGTTTAACATTTTAACAGAGGAAAACTACTGACATCTACACAATTTTTTCAGTCTATAGATACTTTTTAACAAACCTTGGTTGGTGGTGGTTATATGCCGTGGAGTCCGTTCCGACTCACAGCGACCCTGTACAGGGTTTCCAAGGCTGTAAATCTTTATGGGAACAGAAAGTATCATCTTTCTCCCACGGAACAGCTAGTAGTTTCGAACTGCTGACTTTGAATTAGCAGCCTGATTCATAACCACTATGCTACCAGAGCTCCTTTTAACATACTTAAGTGAGGTAAAAATTAACATATTTAACACCCCAAAAGTTTCCTCATGCCCATTTTTGTACTTCTCTCCTTCTCAGGCAACCACTGATTTATAGATTAATTTGCATTTTGAAGAACTGTATATAAATGGAATCATACAACATGCAATCTCTTAAGCTTGGCTTCATTCACTCAGAGTAAGTCTGAGATTCATCTACGCGGCTACATGTGACCATCACTCTTTCCTTTTAGCTTAGTGGTATTCTATTTTACAGATACACTATCATTTGTTTAGCTAATAACCTGCTGATGGATACTTCATGAGCATGTCTTTGTGTGGACATACGTTTTCACTTCCCTTGAGTAACTACCTAAGAGTGATAAGGCTGGGTCACATGGTAGATGACTTCTGGTGTAGTGTTATAGGATCAGCACTGGACTACGAACTACAATGGTTGGCAGTTCAAACCAACCAGGTGCTCCTCAGAAACTCCATGCAGGTTTGCTGAGTCAGGATCGACTCAAAGGCCCTTAACAGTAACAATGGTAGATGCACATAATAATTTTTAAGAAACTGTCAAATGGTTTTCCAAAATGGCTGTACTATTTTATATTTCCACTAGGGAAGTTCCTTTGTATCTTCACCAACACTTGCTGTGGTCAGTCTTTTGTATTTTAGCCATGGGTTAAATGCACTGGACTGCAAGGTAGGTTTGAACTGCAA